GATTAACATAAGAATAAAAAAAAATCTTTGCTATTTTGGTAGGGGGAATAACTAGTTATTTTGATGTTTTATTGCTGACCTTGGTCATTTTTATAATTGCTTACTGGTTATTTGTACTTAATGATCACAATTTTTTTTTCATTAATTGCCTGTGCCAGCCAGTACCTGTGCATACTAGTGTAGGGCAATAATATTCACGGGAGAGAAGAATTATTTACAAATTCTATGGCCAGTTATGGATATTTGTTATGGAAATTTAAGCCTTTTAAGGTTGACCTTTAAAACACATAATCTACAAATGTCGTTTTTGAAAATTCCCCAAATTGAATGATCTAAAAGATATGAAGTTCAACTATTAGCCATGTAACTGGGGGCGGGGAACCCACTCTATTCCCTGATGTTACTTTTAAATTGTGTATGTGCACTTAAGAGAACTGACCTTTTGAAGTTAGAACTCTTTTAGTTAAGAATATCCATCAGCCTCTTACAAAAACTGCTCCCCTACAGAACAGGCCATCTTAAAATCACAAGTGCATTTTCATTTTAGTTACAATTTATCATCTCTCTCTTTCATGAATAGAAAGGCATCGGGAGAAAACAATTCTCTAGGAAATATTCTTCCCGGAGTCGTGTCCGCTAGACTTGAAAAATGCTACCTAGTTATTTGCAGTTTAGCACTCGTCTTGCACATGTTGGTGATGAGGCTTCCTTCTCCCCTCCCCGCAGATCTTGTTGGTCACTAGTCAGGGATGGAGAGGTGAGAGGTGGTTCTGAGAGTGTCGGCTTGCTCAGGGTGGCGATCTCTCTTCTGGTTCTCCATCCAGAGCTCCAGTTTCACCAGCAGCCCTGTGAGTCCTGCTGGGGATCTGCAGCAGGGTTCACAGGGCAAGTGCTGTGACTGAGACATTCCCCTTCTTCTCTGATGTTTCTTCTAAACAAGTTAATGAATTTAAAGTGCCTAGCAATGCACTGCAAGGCCCACTGGATGCCTTCACAAACACTACACTTTCCTGTGCCTTCATGCTGGCTCACATTGGGAGCTTACCGTGCACCAGGAACAAGAGAGGTATGAACATCTCACTGACGTTCTCTAAGGTGGTGCTGTTATATTCCCCCATTTTACACGTAAGAGAAGGAAGCTTTGGAGCAGTCATATTTTATCTAAGATTGTCTAGGTTAATAAATTACTGTACCTAAGAATTCTGACATGTAATTCTTTTTGCCTCTGACATTTTCTGTGGGCTGCATCTTTGTATCACCCCACAGAAAAGAACAAAAGCTCAAAATTTCTTCTCTCAGTAACATGCAGCTACTTTGATTTTCCTAAACCCCTGGATCGCTCCCTGCAGACCACAATACAGGCCCCCAGTGATCTTACTGGCTGCCGGGAGATACCCTAGGAGGGACTGCATCTCCACACCGTAATGAAAAGAACCCGTCGGAAAACCTGTAGTGACACTTTAGTTTAAGAGCTGATCTTAAAGGTCTTTTACCGGTGTTAAGAGCTGAAATGTGTTCCCACCCAGCCAAATTCATACATTGAGGTCCTAACTCCCAACACCTCAGAATGTGACTGTGTTTGCAGGTAGAGCCTTTAAAGAGGTAATGAAGGTGAAATCAGGTCTTATGGGCGGGCTCTAATCCAGTGTGACTGGTGTCCTCACAAGAACAGGAGATTAGGACACAGACGCACACAGAGGAAAGACCATGTGAAGACACAGAGGGAAGATGACCATCTACAAGACAAGGAGAAAGGCCCTCAGAAGAGATCAACCATGCAAATACCTTGATCGTGGACTTCTGGCCTCCAGAATCGTGAGAAAATGAATTTCTGTTGCATAAGCCACCCAGTGTGTGGTACTTTGTCATGGCAGCCCCAGCAAACTAGTACAGATGGAGCTGGGTAATTACTAGTATCTGAAATTAAGAGCTTTCCAGATGATTTAAATTTCCCTTTTAAAAATCAGAAATCTAGACCAGAAAAACAGATCGTTATACAGGCTACATCCAGTAAGAAGAATTTCAAGTGATTTCACAAATTATTTTATCATACTAGAATTTTATTGCCACAAACGGAACTTGACTGAGAGGATCAGTGACTGGGGCCTTGACATCTTAAATTTTTCAGTTTAGCTTGACAATGCTTTGGGTGTTCGATCTGAGGGCAAATCGGAGATGCTTTGGGAATTTCTTCACACAGCTTATTGAATACATTTACCATGGAAGAATGAAATTTGCAGATTCTCACTCACTTTGCTGTGTATGGACAAATGCTGTAGTCCTGAGAAATGACAGCAATGACTGCTGTTAAAATCAGAGAAAAATATGTGCATGACTAACAGAAAGAGAAATCGCAACACAGAGAGAGAAAGCTGAAGAATGAAATAAACCTGTCCAAAGACGTTAAAAAGGATTGTCTCTAACAAAAGTCCCTTTGACTTTCAATTCAATAAATATTTTTAAAGTGTATGCATGGTAGTATGGGGAAAATTAAAATTTAGAAATTAACCCTGACTCTGACCTCAAATATTTCTTGATGTGATAGGAGAAAAAAGACACAGACACAAATAGCCATAATGTCATGTAGTCTTTGATAAAATCTGTAATGGAAATTAAAAATGTAATGAAATCACAGAGGACAGAGAAGGTCATTGGACAAGCTGGGGCATTGGACAAGACCCACTGGGACAGACGGTTGTTTCTTTGGGGTCTGGAGGTTGTGTAGCGTTTACACAGGTGGGGTTGTAGAGGGAAGAGCTTGCTAGGCAGGCGGATTAGCACAAGGGGAAACAGATGTTGTGGGAGAGTGCAAATCATGTTCAGCGCAAAAGTAGGAATCTGACCTGCTAACACGAGCGGAAGCATTGAGAAGACGGGACCATTGACCCTGCACTTGGAGTCAAAGGGCCTAGGTTCTAGTCCTGCATTCTCCATTTACTAGATTTATGACCTCAATCTCCTTGAGCTTCAAATTCTTCGTCTGTGAAATGGAAATAATGACTCAAACCTCACCATTATGATTAAAAAGGGGTGCCCCGTGTGAAATCTCCACCTAGCAGAGTCTGATATGCAATAAAATTTCTGCAAATGTTGGCTGAACCTAAGTCACGTGGGCTTGATTCTGTAGAAAATGGACAGCCAGTAAGGTTTTTGAGCATGAAAGTGAGAGGATCCGAAGTAGGCATTGGGAAATTTCTCCCAGTAGTGCTGTGCAGATAGCCTGACTTTGAGGGCAGCCATTCCCACAGCTTTGGGGTGATAGGAGCCTGAAGCAGAGCTGCTTCACGGGGGGGCGGGGTATGGAGGAGCGGGTAAGTAGGAGTCTTCCAGGGCCAATGGGGCTGGGGTTTGCTCCCTGGGACACAGATGGCTCTTCAGAGACTCAGGCTCCAGTTCTGTGGCTCTTTTCTCAAACAGTGGCGTGACTTCTACTGAGCTGTCTAACCTCAGTGGATTCCCAGTTTTCTTATCTATGAAATGAAGAGGTTGGAAAAATCTCTAAGTATTCTTACAGCACTAAAATACCTCATGCCTATTTGAATCCATAAAATCTGTTAAGCTCGTTAGATGGGAAAGCAAAGTGCCTAAGGGAGGTGGAGAAACAAGAGAGCAGAAAGCAAGATTTAAACATGAGTGAGCAGGTCAGAGGCTGATAGCATTGTGAGGATTATGGAAGAGAGGAAAATGAACAGGTTTGGGGAAGGATATGATGAATGTCATTTCTAACGGCTGAAAGGGCTTTCCTTCAAGGAATTAGCCTTGTGCCTTTAGGAGTATTCAACAAATGACTTACTTTGTATTGTCTCTCACACCACGTAAACATCAGATTTGAAAGCAAATATTTTTCTTTACCTCATAGATTCTTTTCATCGGAGACTCAACCAACCGAGGAATAATGTACTATCTGATCGAAAGACTAAATGAAACCCTGCAGGAATGGCAGAAGGTGCACAGCACGAAATTCTATCACAACATCAATGGTGGGAAGACTTTGATCAGTTATTCCTATTATCCTCAGTTCTGGATAAGCCCTTCCTTGAGACCAACGTTTGAGAAAGCACTCGAACATCTCTTGCAAAGGTACAGTGGAACTATTATGGATGGCGTAATGCCTCAATGGACTGACATTTTACCGGGGGCCATAATTGCTCCCTGTACATCAAATGTGCTGAAAAGCTTAAATCCCAAGTAATATGGCTGAAAACGAGTTGGAAACGACAAGGAGGTCCAGTGATCAGGATGCTAGCTATGGTTCAGTGAAATGTGAGGCACTGCTGAGAAAATGTTGAGCATCTGTTTCAAGGCAACATGTGTTGTTTTCCTTTCTGGATTTCAGATCCCGTCCCCTGGAGAACACGGGCCGGACGGTATTGGTCGTCGGTGGTGTTCAGTGGCTCAATTCCAATCACCTACAAATTATTCACAAGGTTTTGAAGAGGTAAGTTTCTGCAACAAGAATTGTCATTAGTATTCGAAGTGAAAAAGAAAAGTCACCTTTGAGGTGACTCAATTTTATCAAGATTTTATGGAAAAAGCAGCTTGTAATTTAGAACTACATACTTGAAGTCCAGTTTAAAATGTTTCAAAATACTTTTTGTATCCAATCACAAGAGAGCTCTTCAGTATCCACATTTATATTTACTACAGGTAAAAACACGCCCACTGACACATAAAACTCTGTCTACAAAAAAAAAAAGAAAAACCAAAACCCTAAAATATACCAAATCTATAAAATGAGAATTTGGTCTTATATGCCAATTATCACATCCTAAAAGAATTCCATTGTATTTGTTTATGTAAGCACAAACACCAAGAAATGTAATCAAAGTTTATGACCTCAGAATTCTGATTATTTCTCAGGGAAAATTTACTCAATATCCTTGTGATCATCAAAACTTTGGGAATTGGATTTCATCTCCCAGTGGATGGATTGCATTTCTTGACACAGGTAGGCCCATTCCCTCCAGGCTACGTGAACTTTATGGTTCCTATAAGGATCTTTGCTGATGTCTGAAAAAGGACCTACAAGGCACTATATAAGATTCAGCCACCTTCATAAAAATCAAAGGAGATAACGTACTTAAGGATTAGGATTTCAAATCAGTTATACTTACTTATTCCTGGAAATAAGGCGACCATATCCCATTAACACGTTGTGAATAATGCTTTGAGCTATAAGAAAAGAAAGGAGACACCATGCTATGAAAAAGTAAAGAACTGAGGGGTAGATGAGAAAGATTAATCTTTAAGTATCCCCTTACCCCACTAACATTTCATACACCTTTAAAGGCTTATGCTGAAACCACTAATGAACTTGTCGGTATCAATGAGCACTTTGGGAAAGAGTGGCTTTTTTGAAGATGATTTCTGGCTGATTGCTTTAAAAAAAAAAAAGTCTTTGAAGTAGCATCATTAGTTTTTCCTTTGCTTGGATATTCAGAAATGGGAGGAGTTAGAGGCCTCCGACCAGTTCTTACAGAAAAGAGTAAAATGGTCTCAGCACTGAATAGAAGTCTCAGAAAAGAAAAGAAAGGCAGCATCTGTGGGTAAGAGAACCAGCTGCTCTCGTTCGAGTAAGGAGAGTTCATGGGCGACCGGGACTGTGTGTGCTTGCTCCAGGGAGCCCCGGAGAGACTGGAAGCTGTCCATTTACTGTATAAATTGAGTGAGATTTCTCTCTCTCTGTGTGTGTGTGTGTGTGTGTGTGTGTGTGTGTGTGTGTGTGTTATGTTGAGCCCTCCTAGCTTTCCCTGGAACAGATGACACGATCCCCTCTGCCTTCTCAAAACTTTGCCCGCCTCGGTGCCAGATCTCTGATGCAAAATCAGGAGAACTGGTAGAATGTGGCCCAAGTCAAGTCTCCAAATTCAGCCTCTTAGAGGGAGTGTGGGGAGGGGAAAGTCACTTAAGATGAGTTGAGGTATTTAGCATCTGGGGTAGCTGAAGTGTTGGAGGCTACTGGGGATTAGACGAGAGTTCTTTTGATAATGGTTTTGAGTTGACTCTCCTTGACTGTTATTTGAAGTCTACAGTCAAGGTTACAGTTCCTTCTGGAGGACTCTGCTTTGAGCCCCCACTTTACCCCTTGCAGGAACTGGAGTACTTATGACCCCTACTTATATTTAGGTTCCAAACTCAAAATCAATTCATGTCAGCAGATAGCAAACATTTCTACAGCACTTTTATGCACCAGATCCTGTGTTGAATAGTATGCCTCCCACCATAGCTTTAATGATCCTCATCAGTCGTCTCATATGGAAAGAAGACAAAAGGAGGGGAGAAGTGGAGGGGAAAGAACAGAACGAAAGAGAAAGGCATAATAGCAAGTGGAGGCAGAAACTAAGGCTGGACTCAGTCACACTCTTGCGCGGCCATTCAAGAGCTTGCCTCTACTGTTCTCTGTAGACCTGCTACCCATGCACAGATGCACACATGCATGCATGCACCACTACTGAGCTCAGTCCTACTGGGCAAGTTTCAGTTTCTCAAGCACGCCAGGCTCTCAGTCACATCCAGATCTTTGAAACCACTATTCCCTCTTCGTGGAGCCCACTCTCCCACCACCTCTTCACCTGAACAACTTCTAATTACCCTTCCAGTGTTAGTTTACCACTGGGCAGACTTAATTGACACACTAAACTCCATTGGCTACTCCTGCCAGGAGCTCCTATAATAGGGCCGTGTGTCTTTGTTTATGTCTCTCAACAGATACAATCCTTGGCTGTCTGTCTCCCCTGCTAGACTAATTTCTGTGAGAGCAAGGACAGGAGGGAGGGCTACATTGCTCACTCTGGTACCCCCACTGCAAAACACAATTCTCAGCACGTAGTAGAATCTCAAAAAATATCTCACGCAAAAATGAGTGAGTGATACTTCATATGATTTGGCTCCTCCCAGAGCCCCTCTTCAAGACTGAGACATTCATTCACCTGGGCCACTGGGAGTATGGCCCAGTAAGGACTCCCACCTGACTCTTGCCAGGAATTGCCTTTCCTGCCCAGGCCCGACTTGCCAGTGTAGGAGTACCAAGATTCAGCCCCCTTTCCCTAATTTGAGCCATCTTGGAGGGACCAGGCCAGCTCTAGAACCCCTGGGGGATCCACAAAAGCCTCTCTTAGAACTACATCACTTCCTTACCGGTGTTGATCCCCAAAACATTCTCCCGTCAGCCTCCTGCAGGCAAATTCCCATCTCAGGAATCTGCTTTCCAGAGAACCCACCTTTCTCTAGAAAACTCTCTTTAGAAACTGCTTACTGTAAAGTTCCATATACCTTTCATAGCTAGACATATTAAAGTTGAGAAAATACTTGTAACTGGACAAGGAGTCTACAAACAATATTGAACATCATTGTTCACATGATGACATAAACCAAATTCACATACGTTCCTTTCCTCTAGATTTCTTCTTTAGGAATTTTTCTATTCACTACTTTTATTTTGGGGGGAACACTCTTCTTTAGATGTCACCTAAAGATAGATATGCTAACACAGTGGAGAAGACAGAAAATTAGACATATTTGTACTGCTTCTTTTACCTTGCAGTTGGATCAACAAAAGCAAGTGATTTTCTTTTTCTTTTTTTTTTCTTTAAAGATTTTATTCATTTATTTGACACAGAGAGAGAGAGCACAAGCAGGGAGACTAGAGGGAGAGGGAGAATCAGGCTCCCCATTGAGAAAGGAGCCTGATGTGGGACTCGATCCCAGGACCCTGGGATCATGACCTGAGCCGAAGGCAGACGCTTAACCGACTGAGCCACCCAAGCATCCCCATGATTTACTTTTTCAACTGAAAAATGAGAAGCATTTTTATCCTTTAGAAAAGGCAAGAGCAGGTCCCTTCCTCTGTCAGTTTGGGTTCTCCAAGAAACCGACAGTAGACAGAATTAGCAGAGGAAGGGAATTTATTAGGGAGAATGTCTGGAAAGAATAAAGGGAAGGGTGCTGAGGAGGCAGGAAGAGTTTCAGGCCCCAGCACCTAATGCATATCACTCAATCTTGCACCAAATATTTTTGGAGTGTCTACTATATATTGGGCACTATTGGGCACTGTGGTTGGCTATAATTGTCTGATGTGAAAGGAGTGGAAGAAGGATGGATGAGGTAGGAAGAGTCTCAGACCTCAGAGACTACAGGTCAGTCTGGGAAAGTCTGAGAAAGTACTAGTCAAGCTGATGAGAAATCCCAGAGCTGGAATAGTTAGCGGAGGGGTCCCTCCTCTCAACAGTGGGCCTGAATTAGACTTTCTGCCAAGCACCATCATTGCTTTGGACATGATTGGGGAGGGAGGGAAGAATATGATCCTGAGAAGCAGCAGCTGGAGCTTTCAGTCACTTCTGCTGTTCCCTGAAGCACATTCCCCTTCTCTGTTGCCCCACCGCCATCCAACAGGCAAACCTCACTCTGCTCTGGAACCCCTTCCTGAAGCCTCACTGTCTAGCTGTCCCCCTGCCCCACTCAGCTATTCCCTCTTCCCTACTAGCCCAGAGTCTAGGATATTTATATCCCATAAAGGTCTTAGTAAATGTTTACAAATCTGTTCCTCCTATTGGAATGCAATGTCTTAGGAGCGGGGGACATGATTTATTTATCCTTGTATTGTCCCTTAGCACAGAGCTAAGCACAGAACAGATACTAATTAATATTCAAATGACTAAATGATTAAGAATCTAAATAGATGGAGATAGCCTTTGTGGTGTTCAAATTTTGACTTTTAAAGTGAGAATTTTAAATATTTCAATGAACCTTTGTGGGAAATAAACCTAATTACTTTTCATAGAAGGAAGAGTTCCAAACTGTGTGTCATTCTAGATATTTATGTGTTGCCATTTTATACATACGTAAATGTTTGTATTTATATTTTGAGTAAAAAACTGATAACACATCTTTGTTTAAGAAATGCATGTGAAATTATTTTTCTTGCAGTGGGACCAATCTGTAAAAACGATGATATTCACATGATTTCTATCTGAGTTATTAAATCATAAAACAATCCTCTTAATAAAAAGTCTCATTCTAATTGAATTTAAATAAAAAAATATTTCCATTCTTCTCTGTTGCAATACAGAGTGAAGTTCAGAACTTATGGAAAGAAAATGTGATTATTCTGGATGCTGCAAAAACCTATGGCTATGAAGTGGTTGACACATTTACTATAACAATGGGGCGATACAAGGAGTTTTTGCAGGGCACATGTGGATGCCATTTTCATGAGGTATTTATGCTGGCTTTTTATTTATTGTAGCTTTTGATTTTTTAAATTTCTCATTATATCTTTAATTTCATTGTCAGTGTTATTTTGTTTTAAAAAACTATGTCAGGAGGAGATTAAATGAGGTATTCAACGTCACTCAGCCAAAACATGCAGCAATCACAACTGGAGGCTCTAAAAAATAAGAAGTTAAAGAAGAATTAGTTTTTATGTAGACACTTAAAAACTAGGATCACTGGCCAAAAGGATGGAAACCTGGAGAACACTTGCCTTATCTAATAGACTCTGAACCCTCCCTTCGGAAATTGTGGCCAAAGAAGGTAGCAAGTCTTTGGTGGAGCTTGAAAATCAAGACAATTTAATGTGCTAAACTCATGAATGACCTCCCTCCATGGTTTATCCAATGCATTAAACAGGTGGACCTGTGTTTTGAGTAGCCCCCAACGCCCCGTGGTTAAAATGATTTTATCTGTAGTCAGTAATATAATAGGCTAAGCTGATAAGGTGATAGCAGAAAATAATTTTATCCTTCCCCCAGCCACCTTAAAGCTGATCTATAGCCACAGTGTCTCATACCAATTCTAATGCTCCACAAACCCCAAAGGACACATGTCCACCTCTCAAAGTTGGTCTCTTGAAGGCCCCTCCACTTGGCTTGAAGCAAGGGTGAAGAAGCCACTCTCTATGAGGGAGGAAGACCACCAAGCCTTTAGACAACTTCTCAGATTGAAGTTCTCTCTCTCCCTTCATCTGCATTCTCCTACTCTTTTAACGAGACAAAGGTTTGCAAGCTGGATTTTGTCCACACTTTTTCAAGTTTTGCATACGTTGTTCAGACATTGCTTTGATATATGAGGTTACTTGGCTCCTGTTGTTTGCTCTAGATCTCAGAAAATTCTGCTGAAACTGCAATGGAAAATGTCTCATTTGATCATTCTGTCAGATAGGGGTTCACTCCTTCTTTCTCAAATGCACCCCTCCCCCTTGTAAACCAGAAGGCAGTCATTGGGTTGACTAGGGAAATGACAACTAAAGGATTCTTGGAGCCTGTTTTTCAGCCCTAAAATGACAGTCAGAATCCATTTTGGTCCCCAGGTTTTTATGGCTACCCAAAAGTTATTGACACTGTATTGGTTCTTCTAAATACTCTATGTTATATTTTTTATATGTAATTGTGTATGACAAATGCATCTGCATCTCAGGGAAGTGAGAGCCTGCACCCACCGGGGAGAGCAGGGCATTTTCAGTTTTGATCTAACTTGAAGCTTGGCCGTGCTGTTGCAGAGAGCTTCTACACTGTGGGAGACTGTGTGTCTATTTCTTTCTTCCACAAAAAAATAGAACACCCTTTAAGTTCCTATCCAATTTGCAAAAAGTCAAGATTTAGGAACAAGAGCAGGTAGTCTGGAAGAGGAAGGAATAATCTTGCCGCTGAGCCAGCCCAGTATCAGAGTTGGCTGAGAAAACTGGTCGGAGGTTGCCAAAACCCACATAAAATGGGGACTTTGAAAGACAACATACAGATCGGGTTTTTGCCTCTTTTAGAAAAGGTTTGTTTATTTACTTATTTTTATATAATGTGTCTTCAATTAGTATTTTTGGGGAGGGGATCTGTTTTTCTTTTTCATCTTTAGTCCCTCTGGAAGCCTAAAAAGGAGAAGTCTACCAAAGGATTTCCAGCATGGCTCCAATTAAAAACAGAAGATACCCTTCCCACACAATTGCATTACATGTATCTCCTGCCGCAGCATTAACCAGTGACACTAATGGTCATGGAATTTGAGAACAACAAAGACTCTTTGAACCACCAGAACTAGAATATTGACTTCTAAATATTACTAAAAAAAATTATCTTTAATTTGCATAACAATGATTTAAGATGTCACTTATTTGACTTTTTAATTATGTGCAATGATCGTGTATAAATTGCTTTTTAAGCCCTATTTCTAACGTGTGTTGACTTGGCAAGCTACCTAGGTATCGTCCAAATTATCTCAGTTGGTTCTGGAGCAGTGTTATCCATGTTGAAGTTTTCTTGTTTGAGCTAAAATACTTCTGGGAGCATTTGCCTTTCCAGTTACACCACAGAATGATAAGATCATCTTTCTCAACTGGCTCTCTTCATCACAAAGATTCTAACCCGTTCATCACTTAGGCATATTGTTACTTAAGTCTTGAACAATATGTACTATTTGTACCTCAGGAAGTTTCTAGTGCTGACCCTGATGTTTTATAATCTTTCCAAACTATCACCCAACATCTTAAATCACTGTGAGCTTACTATAAAAAATCAAGAAAATCTAAAGGCCCTTGCAAAAGATGATTTGATGATTAATGTAGCAAGCCAGGGAAAAGTAGATTATTGGTCTCATGCAAAACATATTAAAGGGCAGAAATTTGTTAATAATAACCATTTTTTGCCTCAGTGCTCATCTTATGAGCTGGCAAAGCGATCTGTCATACAGTAATAGCAAGAATTGAAATCAGCTGTGCGAGAACCATAAGAATTTGAGGTTGGGAGCCTTGTATCTTCTGGTGTTCAATCAAACCATTCCCACAATAGATTCACACATACCTGAGAAGGATTGTTATAATCATTACAGTAAGATCTTGATGTGTCCTCTTTGATTTGTGGTGGGAATTCTATCATAGACATAACAAACCTGCTTCAATGGGCTCTTGTCGCCATAGGTAAGATGAGAGGTCTTGGGGGCACCTCTTTCATCTGTCAAGTCACCGAGAGAGAGAATATGTTGTCACCATGAATCTATAAACAATTTCCCAACTGGTGTACATCAGTTTTGACTACAATGTTCCTGCTGATTAGAAAAGCAGGTGTTTCTCTTCATGGGCAGAAATGGAATTTTGTTTTCCCAATGTTTATGCAGGACAACAAACAGGATCCAGGTAGCTTTTGCCCAAGAGTGGTTTTGGATAGTGTCTTTAGTTATGTGGCAAACATCTACTATGAGCAAGCCAAAACCTGGGAAGGATACAAAAATATTATCGGCCCAGACCTGGCTGCAGGAGGGGCAAATCCACAGCTGTTTCGTGATTATTAATTAGTCTAATCAGCTGTATAAACCTTACATGAGATCTCTGTTTTCTGGCAGGTGTACAACTTTTGACTCTGTCCAAAGGAAAAAAAAAAAATCCCTCTGGCATTACTACCCAGCTCTAATAACACCAAGTTTCCTTTGATTCTGGCACCACGGAAAGAAGAAAGGATTTTCAATTCCTTGTCAGAGATGATTTCCCATTATTGTTAGATCTTCATCTTATACTCTTTATTATTTAATTTTAATTATGTAAACAAAAGCTTAGCTGACGTAGGAAAGTTTTTCTTCTATGGGATGGGCTTGAAGTTTTTCCCTTTCTCCTTCAAACTTTAAAAGTTTGTCATAAACACAATGAAGAAAAAAGCCTTTAAATTCACCTATCTAAAACACTGAGGTAACGACTTTCAGAGAAAAAGGAACTGATCCAAATATAGATAGCTTAGATAGCAGATCCCAGAATTTATCAGCATGGCTATTTTTAATAAATTAGTAATGGCAATTTAATTCAACAAATATTTGAGTGTCTATATGAGCGCTGTACTAACTACTGTAAAAGGAGCTAGGAGCACATTTTTTAGGGTTCCCTTGAGTACCTCAAACTCAACATATCCCCAGCATGCAATTCTGTATATTGTAGAACATCAATTAAAATCAGGGCCTGGGGAAGTGGGCTAGGGCCAGATCATGGTAAGAGCTTAGACTTCATCCTATAGGTCGTGGAGAGCCAACGAAAGATTTTATAGAGAAGTGAGATGGTCACATCTTTGTTTCCGATAGGTAAGTCTGATAACATTGAGGGGGGAAGATGGGAAAAGGACTGAGTCTGGCAGAGAAGTCAGGAGACATTTTCAGAAGTCAGGTGAGAGATGATAAAAGCTTGCCCAAACCAGGACAGAGACTGCAAGTATAAGGGAGAAGGAGACAAATACAAGCCCTATTTTAAAAGTAAAATCTGTAGATCTTATCTGAAGCATGGGGGTGTCGAAAGAATCAAAGACGACTCCTAACTTGGGTGATGGATTAGAGCTGAACCAGCAATTGAGTCAGAGAATGGCTGAGAAGATACCAGCTCAGGGAAAAGATGATTCCGTTTTGAACATGTTGTGTTTGAGATGCCTGTAGGACATCCAGGTGGAGATATATCTCACAGGCAGTTGGCTATACAAGTCTGAAGCTCGGGGGGGCAGGGTGCGGCTGGAGATAAAAGGTTCAAAGTCATCAGAAAACAGGCAACAGTTGCAACAATGAAAGTAGATCATCCAGAGAAAGTGAGTAGAGTAAGAGGAGCTGAGGAAGGAACTCTTGGAGACATCAATATTTAAGCAAAGTTTGCAGAAATAGGAGCATTTGAATTTAGAGAGTAAAATGGTAGAGGAAAACTCTAGTAGAGTGTGGTGATCATATAAATTTCAGTAAAAATATTGGGGGCATGAATTAAACTACAATAGATTGAAGAGGTATAAGAAATGAGAAAAGGAGGTTGGTAAAGCCTTTCAACAAGTGAAAATAAGAATAACAGAAAGATACTGGATTTAGAAAAGAAAGTGGTCTAGGAGCAGTTTATAGGAGGAACTACTTTTCGCGTTTATCGGCAGAAAGGGAATAATCAATACTAAGGGATACATAAGGAAAACAGGAGGGCATAAGAGGAAGGTCCTTGATCATGTGGAGGAGGATCAGGTCAAGGACACTGTAAATAGTTGGTAGGGTGCAGGTAAATGAATGAGGTTGCCTGCAGGTTTCTTCTTCTCTAGCATTTACTTGCCCTAGACTTCTGCAATATTTTCATCTTGGAAGCTTCACTTTCAATTACTCGAATTCATGTTCCCACCAGGATGTTTCTATGGTTCCAATCCAATGTTGTCATTTAAAATGTCTCAATGGCCTTATCACTAAAGAGGAGTCACAGGAACTTTCACTGCCTACCACTCTTAAGCCACTTTGGGGGGAAAGTGATCCTAGACAGTTTTTTCTGTGCAAAAAATAATTAATGCTCAGTCCACTGTCTGCAAGAATTCTAACTTTTTCTGCCAGATGATTAGATTACAAATCAGTGCCTGCTGAGAATGAATTCATGAGCCCCAAGGAAGCCCAGCCTTTTCTGAGATGGTTTGTACAAGATCCTGTTCCAAAGGGAGCATCTTTTGTTGAATAGTGGTAACACCACCATATCAGGGTCTCTCTCTTAAGAAGGATAATTGAATGAAAGATGAACAGAGTGTCAGTCACTCCATGCTAACTAGTATGAGGACCCCAAGAGGCAGCTGCACACGCCAGCCTCTGCAGTTCCAGCACCTAGGACGTCAGTATGCCTCAGGAAGAGATGTCAATCCATAAGTATCTCATGTTTTTTGCAATAAACCCTCATTTCGGGGGGTTTACTACCAAGGCTTAAGGGTCAAGCTAGGATGGACTCTGAACTGTCTTGATTAACATTCACTACTTCATGTTTTGGTGTTCTAGCCTGGTGAAAACAGGATCTGTGGTTTGGGAAATTCTGTATACTCCTCTACTGTAAAGATTCTCAAATAATATTAGTATTTTCAATGATCCAAAAAGCCCTTACAGCAAAGAAACTATTTAGCTTCGTTTGATCCAGTTTTCCCCAAACATTTTTGACCACAGAACCACTTTCCTTTTTTTAATAACAACTATTAACACCTCACTAAACACACTTTGGAAAAACTAGCATAGAGGATAAGGTCAAAAATCATGCAGGGAGTACAGATTAAATGTGGCAGAATGACCACAAGCATTTATCTTCTCTTCCACTTGAAACTCCACCAAAAGACTTTAAAGACATGAAGCTATTCACCACCGCTCCCCACTAAAAAAAAAAAAAAAAAAAAAAGACAGAATAAGAAATAACTCATAACAGACAAGAACTCCGAATTCATTCTAAGAAGTTTAACTTAGCCTACAAAGGAAGTTACAATGTAAAATGAGAGAGAGGAGAATTACCAATTAGAGGTGAAGCACACACTTGCCCACAGATCGTCCAAACGGCCCAGGCCTGAAGGAGGTAGGTGCAGAAGAAGGCAGGCTGAGACACAGGTCAGAAAGTCTATATGCAAAATTGGTGGACCCCTCACCCCACCACATGCAGCCTACATCCATATATATGATGTCTTTAAAAATTGAACATCAGAGATGGACTCAGAAAAACAGGTACAGAAAAGAAGAAATTAATCTAGAGGCTGACATCAGAAAAATGAAAGGGAAAGTTGACACCTGAAGGGCGGAGCCCCTAAACTTCTCCCCAGACCCTCTGGAATACCAGCAGACCAGCAGACGGGTCTGCACCACCTCAGACAAGTGGCTAGAAGGCTCTTCTGAGAATAATTAATGCTCAGTCCACTGTCTGCAAGAATTCTAACTTTTTCTGCCAGATGATTAGATTACAAATCAGTGCCTGCTGAGAATGAATTCATGAGCCCCAAGGAAGCCCAGCCTTTTCTGAGATGGTTTGTACAAGATCCTGTTCCAAAGGGAGCATCTTTTGTTGAATAGTGGTAACACCAACCATATCAGGGTCTCTCTCTTAAGAAGGATAATTGAATGAAAGATGAACAGAGTGTCAGTCACTCCATGCTAACTAGTATGAGGACCCCAAGAGGCAGCTGCACACGCCAGCCTCTGCAGTTCCAGCACCTAGGACGTCAGTATGCCTCAGGAAGAGATGTCCAATTGAGTGGCCCAATGGAGGCGCTCCTTTCAAAGGCCCCAGTAGCGCTGATCGAATTCCTACAGTGAAGCCAGCAGATGGAATGTCAGTCCACACAAATTGTTTCTAAGTGACATTTTAGTGTCAGATGCTTAAATAAAACTAAGTTCCAGAGAAATAGATGGAACCAAATACCTGTGAATGAAGGTCAAAATAGATTCCAAGACCCAAAATGTTCATGGAAATAGATCAGGGTGGGAACTTAGCTTGTAAGCCACTGGACTAATGAAGGTCATTCAAATAATATCAAGAATTCAGTGACATGAATATCCAGCCACTTTGAAAACGGAGTTTAAAAACGTGACTGAGTCTCTGGAGAACTGCAGAGGAGTACAAGATAGAACCACAGTTTCACTGGAAATGGTAAACTACTGGTCTATAGCTCCTTATAATCAATCTCCCCACTTCAGAGCAGAATTTGTTCCCAGAGCTGGAAACCGAGGTCTGTCTAAGGGGCAGGAGTTAAAAAAAGCTCAGCTGTCAGAATAAGAAGGCTTGGAGATTTGGAGGTAGGGGAAGAGACGAAGACGTTGCAAATCTGGAAACACCAAAAGCAAAAAACAATTCCTCGTTCCTAAAGAAAACTTTAGTCTTGCTTTCTAATCCTCAGCATCTTTGACCCATTCAGAAGCTGGACTGCCTTCAATCAAAACATAGCTTATTTCATGTGGCCATGATTAAATATTGGGGTGGGGGATAGATGAAAAAAATCATTATTATCTGTAAAAATTGCAAAATTTCCTGAAATGGAACTATGAATTATAAGGACTGGCTTCTAACTATTGTTTGTTGCTTTATTTTTATTCCATTTCTGTGAATTCTTGGGCTACTTTTTCAGCTGGTTATAAATTTGGTGACTGGATCTTGGATTGAATGTCATGTCTGCAGAATGACTATACCAAATAAAAAGTACTTCAATCATATAGATCTATCTTAAAAGACCACACTAGCACATTTTGGTCAATGTCAGGTTTTCCAACCTTGGAAAGAAAGCCATTACCCTCATTCCTCTTCCTATCCCATCCATGTCTGTGAAACACGTTTATAATCAGAACATCCCCCTTAATCCAGTCTAGAAAGATTTTGGAACACTTGCACCACTGAAAATTGTTTCCTATTTTGTTCTGTGGATCTGGAACCACATCAGAAGTTCCTTGGGTGTTATTCAGGTTAAGATCAGTTTTAGGAAAGGTATTTGGTTCTAATACGCCTGACACTTTTCCAATTCACCAAGCTTTCCCTTTTTGTACTGACTTTTTGAAAGTTCAAAGTTATTTTA